TTAAATATCCTTTTCATTTAACTAATTCATTGTTTATTATACTTTATTAATGATCTTTTGATTAACTATTTTTCTTTCGATTTGAGTAATTAAGAATCACATGATTTTACCAACCAATAGAATTTTAGCAATAATTAAAAATGATCTGCAAAAATTAGCCAATTATAATGAATGCCCGCTATGCTCGTGCGAGTAGTATTTGTTCCGTTTTTTTGGAATATAATTCGATGATCTTTTTTCTTCAAACTAAGTACAAACCATGATTCATGTTCACTCATTTACTTCGAATAATTCTTAATTTTCTTAATATAAAATATGAATTTTGAAAATTGTGCACATAGCCATAAAGAAAATTTTGAAGGAAATGAAATTTGCAGAGATTGTGGAATAGTATTAAATGACTCTTTTGTGCGAGAAGAAGAATTCGTCCCTGATATAACTGGCAAGTAGTTACTTCATTGAATTAACAGTCTGGGTTATACTTAAGTTAATTTTCACGATCATTTGCTTTAATAGACTTGTATGGTGGTCGCGCACTCAGACGTGTAACTATCGACGGAGGAACCCAAGATCCAGGAACTAAAAAGAAAAATCCACATGTAAATTAGCTAGTGAGTTGATTAATAAGATATGCCCGCTTTCCTTGTAATTAACAACCATATTGTTAATTTACAGGTCGAACCTGTACTTGACCAAACGCTATCAACACTTGAACTTTTAGAGTTCAGGACACGTGTTATTGCATATTATAATGCTGTTGACAAAAATTTCATAATTGGGGAAGGAAAACTATTACATTACGTGATTGCTGCTTGCGCTTTGTTAGTTCTTAGAGAGGAAAGGATTCCGAGAACTCTGAGAGAAATCGCGGTATTGTTTAGAATTTGTTATATAAGTTTTATTTATTCTATTTCTCTAAATTGTAACATTTTTTACATTATATTTCAGTACACTTTGGAGTTGAATCTGAATCGCCTTTGTGATGTTGTATTTATGATTCGATCTAAATTTGCCCCAAATGTTACAAACTTTGTTAGTGTTGAGGATTTGATTATCAGGTCAATTGGTGTAATGTTTGATGATGAATTACATAAAATCAATTTCCCGTTATACACTGATATCAAACAACTTTGTCACCTGAAAGAAGATATACAAGCTTTTGAAAAGTGTAGAGAAATAGATTTGCCGAACAACACAACATCCGAAGAATTTCTAGAAAAAATGACAAAAATATATCGGGTAGTTTTTACTGGGATATGCATGGAGCTCCTCAAATACGCCAATGATGCTTTTATTTTAAGCGGAAGGCAACCTACCTTCCTCGGTGCCGCAATCGCTTTGCTCGCAGTTGAAGCAACGGAAAAACCTAGCGTTCACGAAGTTAAAAAGCATCGAAAACGCGCGATAGGTCTTATTAGTAAAATATTTATGGTGGATTGTCAATTTGTATTGTTTGAAAGATATCGAGAGCTTCTTGATGTAATATATCACAAGGTAATTAATATTATACCTTGGTGCACTCATGCCAAAGAGAATAAGTCTAGAAGTTACTTGTATGTTACCGATCTCGTGCAATTTCAAGAATGGATATTGGGAAGTCGTTTAAAGGGAAAAGGAAAAACAAAAGATGGGAGGAATGTAAACATTGACGAAGCGATTAATAGTAACAATGATTTAAATGAAAATAATAATGGGGAGAATTTAATTTTCACAGACACGTCGGACTTCACTAATAATAATGGGGAGAATTTAATTTTCACAGACGCTTCGAACTTCACTAATAATAATGGTAATGGACAATATAATGACAGTAACATGGAATTTGACGAAAGCGAATTGGATGAATACGTAAGAAATGAAGAGGAGGCAAGTAATCAGGGATTGTTTAATTTATTTTTAAATATTCGTATAAACATGATATTTATTTTCCATAATTAATTATAGGTTGAAATGTTTAAAAAAGTCTGGGAAACATTACAATCGAATGTTCTAGAAAAATCCGATGACAAGAATATTCAACATAAAAAAATCACGAGACAGCCAAGACTTCATGAAAAGAGTAGCGTGGAAGATAAAACTTCTATCTGTAATGAGCAACTTTCTTCTGATAGCGAATCATCGATTTACACAGATAAAACTATACAAAAAGTAAATAATAATAAGCGTATCAGAATAGAAAAGCCTAAAGCCAACGTGAAAAAACTAAATATTGACTTTTCTTTGATTGATAACATCAACTTTGATGATTTTAATCATATTTAATTGTTGACCCAATAAACCGATTCGCTTGATAACAACGCATTGAGAGATTATCAAATCGTTTATAATTCGAACTATCCCCTTACTATTGTCTGAGATACGCTCATCAATAATTCCGAAGGAACTCGTTGTGCAAAGAATAAGGCCCAAATTAATTTATGCTATACCGTAAGGAGAACGAATTAAACCTATAAAAGGAAAACAATTTCTTTCCTGAATGTAAATAATTTTAATGACTAATATAAAAACCCTAGTCACATGACTCATCTTTTATCAATAAATAATAAAATTTGAGGAAATCATTTTTAACCTTTTCACTAGAATTCCAAAAAATGTCCAATAATGGGTCAAAATACACGGTTCCTATAAAACCAATTCGAGACCTTCTAAACCCGAAATTTGAAGGGTATAAGCTAAAAGTTTTCGATGAAAATTCGCGATTACTACACTTTCGACTTCCACCACCTGGAATAACATTATCTAAAATACCAACAAATAAAAAATTATCATATAAAGAAATTCTAAGTCGAAGTCATTTTAATCATTTATTTAAAGGCTTCGAAATAAAAGAAAAAGTAATTTGTTTTTATTTTGATTCGGAAAATTTTGTGGTATTAGTCGAATATGATATGGTATTTTTCATTTTATTAATTATAAATTTGATCTAAATTAAAATGAATTAGATAATGATTTGCTTTGGATATTTAGGTAACAAGTAATATTGTAACCCATCGTCTTCTAAAGATCCAACAACCAAATTATTCTGGAAATGTTGGGGAAAAAAATTCTTCACATCAATTATATTCCAATTATTCTTCCTTACGAGCTCTCTCATCAAATTTAATACTCGTAACAAATGGATCAGGAGAGTTTGTTCTTGTCCAAATTACTAAAAATGATGATACTAGTTTATACTCTTCCGAAATTTTATATCAGGCTGGGTTTCAAGGACATTCACCAAAACTTCATTCGAATTATATACCATGTGTTTTACTCGATGGTAGAATTGTGGGAGATGATATCCTATTTATAGTTTATAATCGTGCTTTAAATCCTATGTCAAGTGATCCAACAAAGGAAGTGCAAAATGTTTTATTTGATATTAGTTTATTACAAATTCCGTTGACACCACCATTTGGAATGAAAATTATTCATGTCCTTCGTGGACCAGATATTCCTCTTTATTGTAGCATTGAATTTGATGGAACTGGGTATGTAATCGGTAGCAATTCAGAATATGAAGTAGTGTACAAATTATCGACTCAAGAGGACACTATGGAGCCAATGGACATTGAAAATGATCAAAAGTCAGCAGAGCAAAATGAAAAGTCAACAACTGTTCAAGAAGTAAAGAATACATCACCATATATTTGGACACAAACTCCTACGGATATTACCATTTATTTTCAATTACCACGAGGAACACCGAAAACTGCCATTCATTGTAATTTTTCTCAAACTCATCTTTCATTAACAGTTAATCTTGGTGATACTCCTCCTTACACTACCGAACATCCACCCATTCCTTGTTATGCGTTTACTCGTTTATTTGACCTGATTGATCCAAGTGTTTCTTTGTGGACTATTGAACCAACGATTGGCCTACTCACATTACACCTTGAAAAGCAAGATCATAATACGCGCTGGTCGCATGTCTTCCAACACGATGATGGAGTTTTTGAGACTCTTGACCCAAATGAATTTGCCGAATTCCGCGAACGTTTGGAAAAATTCACAGCAGATGCCAATGAACAATTAAATCAATCAGAGTTCAAGCGTCTTCAACATCCAATTGGTCATGAGATGGAAGAGTCCATTGATTATGAAGGACAATCATCCATCTTTATGTGGTTTGATCGAGATGGTAGTTTATCAGCAAAAGCGTCTGGTGATAATGAATTTCTCTGTAAACAATTTGAAAATTTAGAAAATACTGGATTTTCTGACAATATTTCGTCATTACCTTCTGTTTGTTTGAAATCCGACGTGGATGGTATTGTATATTCAATTAGACATTCAACCGATTCTTCTATATCAGTCGTGTCACCTTTAATAATGACACATGTTGCAACTTTTAATGCATTTGCATTTGTTCAAGCCTCTAAACGGGAAAAGCGCTTTATGTATCACGATCCAGAAAATCGTTTCGCGATTATTCTTGAAGGGGATCATCGAGCTTTTGTTTATAGACGTCATGAAAGTTGTGAAAATCATGATGAGCAATTTGTAATAGAATTGGCAGTCAATTCTAACGATGATTCAGAAATAATTGGTGTGCAAATGGTTTCGATTGAGAATGCGCATATCATGATCCTTAAATCAAATTCGATTATGTTAATAAAATTATTATAATTTATATGTAATTAACACAAAAATAATATAAAGAAAATAAATATGTACAGTATTTATTTAAAAAACAAATTTTTATTAGAAAGTTTATCATCATTTTATTTTAAAGTGATTTTATAACTTTTCGGAAAAATAAGGTGTGAAAAATTGTTATGACCATTCAAACGTGACGTGAAACTCTGATAAAGTAATCATCACTATGCCAATCAAGTTGATTAATGATGGACTTTTTAAGTGAATCGATATGTAATTTAACGATTTAACCTTAACATTTATTTGCGATTTATTTCTCATTTCTGAAACCTTCTGTTAACTTTGCGCTTTCCAGTCTCCACTTAACAACATATTATTTAGTATCATCTTTTCTCATATTAATTTTCTCTCCATCTTGCCAGAAGGCCTTAACTACTTGGGTATTTTGCATTTCCTTTTTATGAAATAATAATATCGTCAAAGATCAACAAACACATCGAACGCGTTAGTTCATCAACGACATGGCATAATTAGATTGCCAATTAATTTTTTTCCTTGAAGTTCGTAATAGTGCATTTAAATTTCCACCAGCAATTCATCACGCTAACAAATAATATGCATGAAAGTGATGTTGATTGCGCTCTTCTGGCCGGGTTTTATTGTAAATTTTGTCGACGCGAGGACCCAATCACGTCCGTCCAGCTTTTTGCTAAAGATGTGTTTAACTACAAAACGTTTTCAATTATGATTTGGATAGTAGGAGCGAAATGTTTGATCCTTAAATATTCAATTAATAATTAGTCATCCGATTTTGATGAATTTAAACTCATTATAACCTTATCATTGAAAGGAATCGAATTGTGTATTTCAACCCTATTTGACCCTCTTTTGGGTTTCAGTATGATAGATATCCATTTGATAAAAAGTATATTGGTGAACTAAATCATTAAGTTTATTAAATTAAATTTGTAATTGGTAATAAACATTCAGTAATATTCTATATATAATGTACAAATACTGTAAATATAAATAACTACAACTATTTATTTTTTTTAAAGATTTTCTTAAGTCTAGTAGCTAATCCTAATCCAAATGTAGTATTATTAGTAGGTGATGCGTCAAAGTTAGCAGGATTTTTATCTTCAACTTCTAAATTGAGTTTATTTGCACTTTTTGATGCTCCTTCACCTGCATAGTTTTCTTGATTTAATTCTTTAACTTCAATTGGTTTATCAGTCATGGACATTATACTCTTACGTATTTCTGGATCAGCCGTGTTTATATCAATCGGCTTTCCATCTTCATCAACATAAACAACCGAATTTCTTATTTTTTCGGCTTCATCAGGTGAAAGTTTATTGCCTTCTTCATCAACATATACAACTGAATTTCTTATTTTTTCGGCTTCATCAGGTGAAAGTTTATTGCCTTCTTCATCAACATATACAACTGAATTTCTTATTTTTTCGGCTTCATCAGGTGAAAGTTCATTGCCATCTTCATCAACATAAACAACTGAATTTCTTATATTTTCGGCTTCATCAGGTGAAAGTTCATTGCCATCTTCATCAACATATACAACTGAATTTCTTATATTTTCGGCTTCATCAACATATACTACAGATTTACGTGAATCTAAGCTAACAGTTGATGATTTATTTTCACCTACATCTACATAAATCGAAGTATCACTACTTGTGCTGTTTCGTTGGTTAAGCGATTTATTCTTTTCTGGAGTATCTTCGGATGGTGGTAAAATTATTGAAGGTATGTTTGCTTTAAATTCCCCGGGTTGTTGTGAATTCGGTAAATCGTTTGTACCATTCGGTGTACTATTCGGAGAACCTCCCGTTCGTGGTCCAGTTGGTAAATTGTTTATGTTATTTGGTGAACTGTCTGGAGCACCTTTTGATGGGACAC